ACATTGGACAACCACATTTGAGATACCTTTTTCAGGTAGTTCATGCAGATACAAACCACGGCAGCTTATTGTAGAATACTACCTAATACTACCCACCTTTTAACTATAGTCAAGTTGAGTGCATATGGCAAGAATATAAGCTAAGAATACTGTCGTATACTTTTCTGTAGTGTATAGCAGATGGTTTGAACATCTAATTTAATGACCAATTTCTTTTAAAGTTTTTGAGAGATTTTAAAATTGGATTTGAACACAAATCTTTCAAGATCTTGAGTATATAGTATAAGTTCTAGCCAGGTGCGTGTAATTTGGATCAAATTGTTTTCTATGAAACGTTTCTATTGCATAGACCGCACTAATTTTTTCTTCTAACATCGAAGAAATCGGCCTCAATAAGCCTTGATTATAAGAGGCAATTTTACAACAAATAGGGAATAATGAGGTATAGAATCCTGGCTGCATGTTGTAAAACATTTATGTATAGGAGAAAAAGTAAACGTGTATACTCTGACCGCGTAGCTCAGTTGGCAGAGCATTGGGCTATAGAGTATTCCAAAGGTCGTAGGTTCGATTCCCACCGTGGCCGGGCATATTTTTCAAGCTCGCCCGGTGTGGATATACACTCAGAGTAACATCACAAATATTATAAAGATTGGAGTTGTGCTAACGAGGTGGACATTTCTAATTACACATATGCTAGACTTCGTTAAAACACTTTGAACTATATGCCGCTGATTTGGTCTGACACTGTAATTATAAAGTATTTATATACTGTATGTTTATATTTGTAGTTTGGATCCTAAATCTATTGCAGATGCATTTAATGACTATTTCATTAGTATTGGGTCGAGGCTAGCAGCAGAATATGTAGACGAGTCCTGTAGTAATGTTGATAATCAGCCCATAAACTATAATATTAATCAATCCTCAGATACTTTTTTTAAAGTATTTCCAATATCCGTTGATAGTGTTGCCTCGACCCTAAGAGGCCTAAAAGCATGTAAAGCAACAGGTCTTGATAAAATTCCTGCTAAAATTCTAAAATTATCTGCAAACATAATTGCACCCTCGTTGACATTCATTTTCAATCTGTCGCTTGCAACAGGCGTATATATAGATGAATGGAAGCGTGCTCGTGTTACGCCAATATTTAAATCCGGGATAAAAGACAATGTGAGAACTATCGGTCTATTTCAATTTTACCGGTGGTGAGTAAAGCCTTTGAGAAGGAAGTTTTCCGTCAAGTATATAGATACTTGTCTGAAAGCTCTCTTCTGTCAAAGTTTCAATCTGGATTTCGTCCAAAGCATTCAACTGTAATTGCCCTCATCCAAATATGTGATGAGTGGCTAGAAAATATGGACAATGGAAAGTTAAATGGGGTTGTGTTCATAGATATCAAAAAGGCATTTGACTCTATAAACCATCGCATTTTGTTAAATAAAATGAATGAGCAATTTGGAATTTTTGGCGTAGAATTAAAATGGTTTGAGTCATATTTAACAAATAGAGAACAGCAATGTAATGTTAATGGAGAATTATCTAGTAATAAAATTATCACCTGTGGAGTGCCCCAGGGATCTATACTGGGACCACTGCTGTTCCTATTATATATTAATGATTTGCCCGATTGTTTGAAATCAACTAATCCATGCATGTACGCGGATGATACTCAAATCTTTTCATCTTCCTACGATGCAAACGAACTTGTTGTAAATTTAAATTCAGATATTGCCCATGTCTGTAACTGGCTTAAAGAAAATAGGCTGCAGATGCATCCATCAAAATGTAAAATGATGTTTATTGGCTCCCCGTATAATCTTAATAATATAATGTGTGAGGAACCCGTTGTGGCTAATGCAAAACCCATATCACGAATTGCTACACAAATGTGCCTAGGAGTAAAACTAGATGAAACCCTTAATTGGGATAGTCACATTGAAATGATATGCAAAAAGGCGAGCGCTGCTATTGGCGCTATGAAACGTATAAAGCCCTTTGTTCCAATGCATACCTTAGAATCGATTTATAAAAGTCTTGTGCAGCCCTACTTTGATTATTGTTCCCCCCTTTGGGACACTTGTGGTAAGTTGCTAAGAGACAAGTTGCAAAGATTTCAGTCTCGTGCAGCAAGAGTCCTAACGGGTGCTAATTATGATACTCGCTCAGCTGATCTTCTCAACATGCTTTCTTGGGATACACTTGAAAATAGGCGGTCTGGTGCCAAGTCAGTATTAATGTATAAAATACTTAACGACCACACTGCGCCAGGTCTCCGGGGGTCATTCGTGAGAAGAGAAATAGATCAAACTAATTATCATCTTCGAAACACAGCAACTGATCTAACAATTCCTAAACCGAAACGAGAATTTCTTAAAAAAAGTTTTAAATATAGCGGCGCTATGCTCTGGAATCAACTCCCAAACGAAGCAAAATTGGCCGAGTCGCCTCATTCGTTTAAATCAATTGTTGGACAGCGACATGCTTCCTAATTATTTGTATATAGTAACGTGTACAGTATGTGTGTACTAATATTTAGTTTAAATTTTCCTTTTAATGATTTTTAAGATCTAAACACGCCCCCCATGGAAACCAGCCTAGAGTTGATGGGGCTAGCGTGTTCTTCTTTCTGTTAATTTTAAATAAAGTATTACCTACCTACCTACCTACCTGTATAGTACAGTAACATTTTTTTATAAGAAAGTTTCGGATTGATAGGGGTACAACTACTTGATTATAGTAGCCAACTAACTCCCCCGAGGGAAACCCGCTCACTAACCCCGCTACACTTCCCGACAAAGCCAAGGGCAAGGGCCTTCGCTCGATACGTCGAAGTTCTCCTTGTATTTTTCAGGCAGTTGCATATCCCCTAGCTTTCTTATTATTGGCAGTACCTCGGCACTGGCATGACAGACCGTTCAACATTTTTTTATATATTAATATTTGGAATAATGTCCGCTGTTATCCTGTAGTAAAAATAGCGTTTAATCATATTCTATATCATAGAGTAAGGCCAATTTTCTCGACGCATCTGTTTCGATCGTGCTAATTGTATGTTTTAATAACTGTATAGCGCATAGATAAAAAAGACCTCATTAAAATCAGTGTAGAGACTTACATGAAAAAGCAAGTTTTACTATATCTCCCAATAAACCTTTTTTGTGATATATACATGCAGAATTGTCAAGGTCGAGGTAAGTGTTATCAGTCGAGCCGTAGGCGAGATTGATAACACTTATACCGAGACCTGTTGATAATTGGGGATATCACAAAAACCGAATTCAATAACTGTTTTAGTATACATTGCATTTTAATTGACTCTTTCGGCAAACAATGATTTGTCGCACAAAACAACGTTTGGTCTTGAAAAAAACCCAGTGAAAACAATTAAAATATTACAATAACGGCATATTAAAAATAATAGAAAACTCATTTATCTACTAGAGTTCTGATAAAAATGTCAAAAAAGTCTGCTTTTTGCACAAAAAAAAATTCACCAAAGTGAACAATTATTCATCGAAGAAGAGGTGAATAGTAGTGCAGTGATATCTGGAGCTGAACAGCCAATCAGATTTCGCAAAAACCACTATGCACCTGTCGAGTGTATGATAAATGTTTCCCCCTCTTCTTTCTAGTTGTAAAAGATGGGTCTTCAAGGCAACAACCCTGGTACCTACTTTGCATTCTCTATGATTGTCATTCTCTCGTTTCTCGGAAACATGTTGGTACTTGGTGTAATGATCACCAAACGGGACAACCTGAAAAAGCCTTACAACATTTTCATCTGCAGTCTGGCATGTACAGATATCATTACCGTCATCTTCTTAATATTCAGTCGGTATCTTTACCTTCCTGATATGCCGGAGAACGAGTTCGCCGCCACACTGTTCTGTAGTACTATCTGGAACGCGTGCATCCTATTTGGTCTCGGTTATGTTTCCATCTACACTTGTCTTGTTCTCACGATTGAACGATGGTTGGCGATCGTGAAGCCGAACACTTACCGAAAAACGAAGCCAAGGCATGCTGTTGCTGTGGTTGCCACTGTGTGGTTCTGGGGACTGCTTGTTCAGGCTACAACACTCTTTCGAGGCAAAGCTGATTTTGAAAAAGGTTTGAATCGTTTTTGTATTCCATATGCCGTGGGCAGGGAACATTGGATCTGATCTAAAACTCCACACGAGTCAGAACACGAGTGAACACGAGTGAACACGAGTGAACACGAATGAACACGAGTGAACACGAATGGAACACGAGTGAACACGAATGGAACACGAGTGAACACGAATGGAACACGAGTGAACACGAATGAAATACAAGTCTTAAACGGCTAATAACCCTAAATACGACTTATTATTAATATGCCAATAATACGAACACTACGAACAAAGTAAAATTGATTCTTGCGGGTATTCTGATGTTATGCATGGCAGTGCAGTAGCAAGCTGTTGAGAGTGGACTGCAAAAGGATATGTGGGGGCGGGTGGGGGGGAGAAGGAGGGCAATTCAAAACCCCTGAGATAATATATATAAAAACTATACGCAATGGTTTATTTTCCATATTTGAACTGTATCAAACATCAGTTGCAAAAAAAAAACACATTAACGTGTCCAGGGTAGTACGGCTGGGGGGAGGCGGGGTTGGGGGGGGGGGAGTTTAGGGAAAAAACATTTTTGGACATACCATTTTTCACTAACTTACCGAAATTTGTACAATTTTCAGTAATATCTTCGTAAATTTATCTAAATTTATCCTACAATTGTCACTTTTCCAAAAATTATTTGTTAAGTTACATTTTTTTGCCCGACGAGCGTGTCGTTAAAATTGCCCCAGAGTTACGCCCCTGAACGTGTCTTAATATTAATCAATAATATTAATATAGTAAGTGTCCTGGCACTCCAATTGGAAGTTCTAAAATATGAAGCGACCACAGGGCCGTAGCTAGCATGTATAGTGGGGGTGGGGGGAGGGGGGGAGGGATCTCGGGAAAAATTTCCGAAAGACGAAAAAAGTTTCGAATCTTTCATTGCATACGACGTCCCGAAGATGTTTGCTATTCGGAAAATGAAGACGCAATAAATTATAAATATATTAAAGCCGTTTTTTATTAGACGCACCAGAAGGAATATTAATGTATCATAATTGAGAGAATTGAGTCAATTATTGACCAAATACAAACAAAAATACACATATTTTTACGCATATTATAGAAGTGATAAACCGAAAAACATTCACCGATTTACGATTTGTAAATTGTTATGCGTGTAAATGCCATAATTCGATCAGTTTATACTGACAATACAATTCTATAATATTTTCTCCGTTTAACAACTAAAATTTCGTTATACTATTATTGCCGTAATTTTCCGAATGGCCAACCCGATTTTCCTAATATGTTAATTCTAAAAAAGTTGGGGGGGGGGCAGGTTAAACAAACCCCAACCCTCCCTCGCTACGGCCCGGAGCGAAAAACAACATGAAAATGAATGCCTATTGCATTTCATTAAAGAAATAAACTACAGATAATTCAAAAAAGGTTGTCCATGGCAAACCTTGAACTCTAGATCTTAAACCTTAAACTCTAAGCGTGCAAAGCATAATGGGAGCATCATTTAATCAGTTACAATCTCGTGCACAGAGCCCGAGTACGTCATCTTCCAAGTATATTGTGGATTCACTCGTGTTCCATTGGTGTTCACTCGTGTTCACTCGTGTTCCATTCGTGTTCCATTCGTGTTCACTCGTGTTCACTCGTGTTCATTCGTGTTCACTCGTATTCACTTGTGTTCACTCGTGTTCTGACTCGTGTGGAGTTTTAGATCAGATCGGAACGATCGTTTCCTAGCCATGTTTCCCGAAGGTGGGCAAACCAGGAAACATTGTTTCCTAGCCATGTTTCTCAAAGGTAGACGAAACAGAAAACATTGTTTCCTTGCTAAGTTTCCCAAAGGTGGGAAAATCAGGGAACATTGTTTCCTTGCTAAGTTTCCCAAAGGTGGGCAAATCAGAAAACATTGTTTCCTAGCCATGTTTCTCAAAGGTAGACGAAACAGAAAACATTGTTTCCTAGCCATGTTTCCTGGACATGTTTCTCGAAGGTTGGCAAACCAGGAAACATTGTTCTTCAGTCGTGTTCCTCCAAGATGAGCGACTATTTCTGAATTTGTATCTCTTGGCTTGTTTTGGTAAAACACTGGCCCGTTTATTTATTATTTCAAAGCATTTTCTAATCGACCAGATGTTTCTTATAGGCACATGCAAGTGGGTGAAGCTGAGTATCGGTGAAGGACCGTTCCCGTACATTGATATGACGTTACAATGCATCATTCCTTTCTCAGCCATGGTTGGCCTGTACTCTCACATGCTCTACAAAGTGAAGAAAATGCCGTATCTTCTACAAGGTCGTGGTGCAGTCATTACAAAGCGAATCACCATCCTTGCTCTGGCTGCCTCGTCTGCTCTCATCATTGGTTGGCTACCGAGTCGTATCAGTTTCATGTTGAGTAAACTAAACCTCAACGATGCTAACGGTCTTGTTCATTTCTGGCTTGTCGTTTTCTCTTTCGCCAACTCTTTTGTCAACCCAATTCTGTACGGCGTCTACAGTTCCGAGTTCCGCAATGATTACAAAGCGCTGCTGAGCAAGATCTTGTGCCTCAGAGGTGCTCGGGTCTCGCCTGGTGAAGAAATGTCGCAAACGGATACCGTGAATTGTGTGACCGTGGGTGAAGCGAAGGAATCTGAGAAAGCGGATGTCTCACAAGCTATTTCTGCATAAAATAAAATAGAATACAGGGAACATTTAATATCTTCCCTTATGTGGGTTTTAACATAGTCTATCAAGATATGATGATGTGGAAACTAAAAGAAGTCATTGTATTATGTTTTTGTCTGAGTTTATGCTAATTTGTGCAGGGTCACGATGATTGAGCTCATTGTATTTTTGTATAATGACGTAATCGTCCAATAGGGATAGCTGAGATGAAACGTGCAACCACGATGAATAATATTTAATGAAGTTGAGACAAAGGATTTGTGCACGGTGACGTACAGTTCAACATCAAACAAAGGACTTCTATTTTGTGGCTTTGAAGTTTGCCGGGCTTCCAAGACCATCATATCTTGACAGACTATGCTTTTGGTCAATCAGCAGCTATCAGAGTGAAAAAATAATGTCAATTCGTTTAATTATATCCCAAGTAGTGAAGAGAAAGATTTACGCCCGTATTCTAAAAGCTCATTCACACTCAATGAGTATAGCGGTTAAATATGAGCTTCTCTTGAGTGCCGGTGCTGTTTTTGAATAGCTGGAGGGTTAGTGTCGTACCTAATTACTATGTGACTACTCACCCTCCAGCTATTCAAAAGCAGCATTGACACTCAAGAAAAGATTGAACCTCCACTCATTGAGTGTGAGTGAGCTTTTAGAATGCGGGCGTAAGTTTAATTTTATTGCTCAACAAAGCTTTACACTGAACGGCCCACTATAGAAAATGTTGTTTTTTCGTAAATTCTTGCTTGGTTTGAAAGTTTGTCTGGCAATATTTTAATAATTATTTAAGAGAATTATGTATATAAATTTAAACATTAATGTTGTGTTGGACTGATAAATAATTATGAGCGTGGAATGTAATTAGTAACGATGCAATTTATGCTGATCAATAAAACATAAAGTTCTAGAGCCACAGTTTGTGTTTCTCGGGTTTTTCTTATTTCAACTTTTGAAAGGCATCAAAATAACTTGATGATGATGCACAACAGTTTTAGGTTTAAATTAATGTTAGTATTGCGTTAGGGTTAAAATTAGATTAGGATGAAAATTATGGAAAAAGTTATTTCGCGCTGACCTCAGAATGACTCGTCAAAAATTTTTTCTTCAAGATTGGTTTAGAAACAAACTTGGAGTAGGGTTGGGTAGGGTAAGGATTAGGGTTGGGGTTAGAGTTGGTGTTTGGAATAGGGTTAGTGTTAGTAAAAGCGTTGCTTTGTTACGTTTTGTCACTCTGAGGCCAGCGAAATAGCCTCTTCCGAAAATTATACCCCGTTTGTCCGGTATATAAGTGCCGGTCGGATATTGGTCCCCGTGCGTATCTAACGGGCTTGATATCCGGTGTACATTTACCTAATAAATTCAGAAAACTTGGTTAAATGTTTACTAAAGCAAAATACACGGTCTTTTATTGCTCTTTACGTTAAGTCATTGGAGTATTATTGCTTCGAGAGGATAATATAGTAAACACAGAAGATATATCTCAGAAAAGGTTTATTTCACAGGAGAAATCTGGGCAAATTTCAGAAAAAAACAATGTCATAACTCTCGATGCTGAACTGCTGAAGAGCGCTGTCTGCTCGACTATAAAATATGGCGCAAGGTCTAGACCGTTTTGTTGTTGTTATAAATGGCAGATAAACACGGGAAATGTCGACGAAGAATGGTGTGAAATACCGTGTACAATGTAGGGGCAAATCCTAAGCGATTTCGCCTTGTTCTGGGCATATGGCGGCTGTTGAACAGCCGGAAAAAAATGACGAAAATTCTACTCAAATTGAGGAACTACATGACAATACTAGGCCCATATCAAGCAGCTTATCCTCGACGAATTTGCTTTCTGTGTCCGCTTCTTCGAATGTCCATCGTTTGGTAGTTGTTTCTTCAAAAATCAGACAACCTTCGGCGTTGGAAACCGCCGCTCTCAATGGAGTTAGTATACTCATTTATCAACAAGATACAGAAGACTTAAACAGTTTGCTTTTGAAAATAAAAGATGCTTGTTCTCGTACCAAGCCTGTCAGTATTGCTTTCTTGGCTCACGGACATCCTGGCAGTATGGTTTTATGTTCTAAGCGGGGCGAAAAGGTGAGAGCAAAGAATGATATATTTTTTCATGCAGATGTTCGAAGCAACGTACAGTAACTTATATCGCTTTTTTTGTGTTTGATTGTATAAATGGCCGCCTAAAAACCCTTTAAATGCTCAAGTATTTTGCCATAAAAGTTTGCCTGGTTTGTTTGTGTAACCAACAGTTTGATTTCACAAACTATTTGCGTTAGCAACATATATAGGACACCGCAGGAAACTACAGTTAGTTCCATAAAAATTTCACCTGTTCGTATTAACTATTGGGTTAGTGTATAGTTAGTTAAGCAGCTGTTTATGTAAATATTAAATTGAGTATGTTTAAACTTTGGACCAGGATTAGGTTTTCGGACGACATCTGCTACAGTAGCCTTGGAAATTGTATTATTTTAGGGGTGGAAATCCTATGATAGCCATAATTGATTGTTTAATAAATACTAGAGGGAAACAATATATTAATGTGATTTTAAAATGCTATCCAAACAAAAAATGCCCAAAGGCATAATATATTGCTCTTGGCCATGGGTTATTGCCTTTGTTCTTTGTTTCGTTTGGTTAATATGTCACTTTTGATTTTTGATTGTCATGTAACTTTTCAAGGGAAAAGTGGGATATTGATTGGAATTGATGTGCAGAGTTTATAATTATAAACCTAATATTTCATCAGCACATTATGATAGAATTGACTTGACTTTGGCTACTGAAGAATCTATAGATATACTGGATATGGTTGGATATGCCAATCAAGCCTTTTTAGTGACACTCATTGATGAGATGAACAATATTTTCTTTTTCAAAATCTCAAGTATAGGTGCCTTAATTAGATTGAAACCCAGAGATAGATTTTGCTACATTTGCAAAAAAGTATAAAATTTGGACTCAAAATATCCAGCTACAAAACCATTCTACAATTAGTTCTGTTGAGCGAGATGCCCCAAATCCTCATTTTTATCTGTACACCTTGCATTAGTATAACCTTAGTATATATATACATGAACTTGTGGTTAGAGCTCGACAACTGGCCTCTGTAGCTCATTTTGGTTAGAGCACTGCACCAGAATCTCAGGTTTGATTTCTAACAGAGGGCCTGTAGTTGCATGTTTTGCAACTGCCCCTGGTTAGATCTAGTAAATGTATAAAATTTATACTTGAAATTTCCATGCATCTACCAAACCATTCTACAGTTTTTAAAGTGCGACTAACCACAAATATTATTTTTAGTATGTGTAATATTTGGGTGATTCGAAGAAGAAATGTAATATATCTTTATAATAAAAAATCCCAACTTGATCAACTTTTTCACTGTTGAAGTTTCCAGATATGATGTCATTAGGTGAATTGCAAATTAGTTTTCCTTTGTTTTTTTGTGCCAAAAATTCACCTGATAGCAAGCTTAAAATTAAGCAAGCGACGTTTTTGACAACACAAACGTTGACCGGAAGCAAATTTGATGTTATCAACCAACCAACATTCTTGACCCAATCATTTAACGTTACTCATGCCGTTTGTGTTATCAAAAACCTCGCTTGCTTAAGCTCGCTAATGACATCATATCTGGAACTTTGACAGTGGAAAAAAGTTGATCAAGATGAGGTTTTTTACTATAAAGATACATTACATTTCTTCTCAGAATGACTCAAATATTACACATACCAAAAAATTATATTTGGGGTTAGTCACACTTTAAAAAAACATCATTTAAAACAGACACCTCTGGCAATTTCTATACAGTACCCATGTTAAAGATATGTGACTGTATACACAATATTATTTGGTTGTAGAATTGCTGAGCAGTGTAGTTGTTGTGACTACTAAATCAAACTGTACATTCCTTCCAGGTGCTTTCAAAACCATCATTGGCCGAGGACGAAGACATTCGGAATTTTTTCAAAGAAGTTGGAACATCCGTTGATAGAAGTGAGCCTTCATCAAGACTTGATTTTTTATCATGTCCTGTCATTTTATCCACAGATTGGCAAGAGGTTGTTGCAGAGTTGGAGTCCATTGTGGAGGTTTGTTGTCACAGGTCTCAATTTCAGCTTTCAGAAAACATGCCTTTTAATATGTTATTTAGTTGCCATGATCTCCAAACTAAGATGTTTCCCATTACCTCAATGGCAGAGTTCATTGATAGTGAGGTTTCAACATCCAGTATTGAAAATTTCAAACTTGTATCATCAGGATACTGGTACTGCAAATCTCTAACCTTGGTTATAGCATGGATTTGATTATGAATTTTACAGGGATTGAATATCAACATGACAAAAGATATTATGGGGCCTGAAATATCAGGAAAGAAACAATCAAACTCAGACGATGGAACAAGGTGATTAAGATACATCTAACAATTGTAAAATAATAAATGTGTCCAGTTTAAGTTAATCCATGCTGCGTGTTTTGATGTAGTTGTGAGCCCGGTGATCTGTACTTCCAATCAGAGAAGCTGAGAAAGTGGTCTGGTGCAACGCCAAGAAGCATCAGTAATTTTGAAAAGATCAAAGTGGTTGGAAAAGGTGGAGAATTTATTCGTAAATTGAACCTTTCTCCTGGAGGACAAAGGTTCATTTTATGCAATGCACAGTTATCTGTTGTTTATACTTTTGCCTGAGTCGCATATGAATGCTTCCAGTTAGTCTCTGCTTTTGTCTCTTATAACACTGAACTGCTAAGGAATGGTCATTACTGGACCTCTAGGGAGAACAGATCAGAACTGATAGAATTATCTTCCATAAACAAAGTTAGTTTATAATTTAACTGTAATCTAGGGGCTTATGGAGCGGCAGTTTTGTATCGTAAAAAAGATGATGAATCGTTGGTGATCCTGAAGGAAATCAACATGCATGATCTTACAGCGCAAGAACGACACTTGGCGACTAATGAGGTACAAGATGCCTGCTGAAGTCACAAAGTTTATATTATTGCAAACAAAGTTAAAGAAATGAAATCACCACAAGTAGCCCAAAAAAGTTCTGAGCTGCATTCATGTGTGGCCATGTGATGTGGTCCTTTGGTCCATGTAGAATCCTTGCTCATCATAGAGTCTCCAATACCTCCTTTAGGACATCCGTCTAGAACAAGATCATGGGTTAAGCCCCACATGGAGCTGAGAACTTTTCTGTGTTACTTGTGGTTATTTCACCTTGTTTCTAATACAACATGTGATGTGCTTCTATGGTATAGCTGTATGGTAATACTTTGTACTCAGTGCAGCAAAAACGGAACCCATGCTGGCTGTGCATTAGAAACAATTTATGTTATTGGATCTGTCACTTTGCAGGCAAAGATTATGTCGAAGTTGAATCATCCGAACATCATCAATTGTTATGACAGTTTTGAAGAAGACGGCACAATTTGGATTGAAATGGAATACGCAGATGGAGGGTGAGGAAGATTTGTTTGTCACAGAAAAGTCCAATATGTTTAGCTTATCTCTCCAGGGCTTTTAATAATCTCTTTTTTCTCTATTCTAGCACTCTGGCACAGTATTTGACAAAACTTGATCGAGAAATGGAAGAAAAAGAGATTTTGAAAATGTTCTACGAAATGGCACTCGCTTTGCAATGCATTCATCAACATAAAATTTTACACAGGTAATGACACACAAGACACCTTGATTTGCTGTTCGTTAAGTTATTTAACATATATGGCAGTTTGATGATAAACTTGTTGTGCTTCTAGGGATATGAAAACACAGAATATATTTTTAACTCTGGAGGGTCACGTAAAGTTGGGTGACTTTGGCATCAGTAAACAACTTGGTAATACCAAGAGCAATGCAAACACCGTACTTGGAACACCTTACTACATCTCGCCTGAAATTGTAAGTTG